GCTCTCACACACTTCTGTCGTGACCAGTTAGTGACTAACTGTCTTGTCATGACATACGACCGAGCTATCACACACTTCTGTCGTGACCAGTTAGTGACTAACTGTCTTGTCATGACATACGACTGAGCTCTCACACACTTCTGTCGTGACCAGTTAGTGACTAACTGTCTTGTCATGACATACAACCGAGCTATCACACACTTCTGTCGTGACCAGTTAGTGACTAACTGCCTTGTCATGACAAACAACCGAGCTCTCACACACCTCTGTCGTGACCAGTTAGTGACTAACTGTCTTGTCATGACATACGACCGAGCTATCACACACTTCTGTCGTGACCAGTTAGTGACTAACTGTCTTGTCATGACATACGACTGAGCTCTCACACACCTCTTCTCGTGACCAGTTAGTGACTAACTGTCTTGTCATGACATACAACCGAGCTCTCACACACTTCTGTCGTGACCAGTTAGTGACTAACTGCCTTGTCATGACAAACAACCGAGCTCTCACACACTTCTGTCGTGGCCAGTTAGTTACTGTCTTGTCATGACATACAACCGAGCTCTCACACACCTCTGTCGTGACCAGTTAGTGACTAACTGCCTTGTCATGACAAACAACCGAGCTCTCACACACTTCTGTCGTGGCCAGTTAGTGACTGTCTTGTCATGACATACAAGCGAGCTCTCACACACCTCTGTCGTGACCAGCTGGTGACTAAATGTCTTGTCATGACATACAACCGAGCTCTCACACACCTCTTCTCGTGACCAGTTAGTGACTAACTGTCTTGTCATGACAAACAACCGAGCTCTCACACACTTCTGTCGTGACCAGTTAGTGACTAACTGTCTTGTCATGACATACGACCGAGCTATCACACACTTCTGTCGTGACCAGTTAGTGACTAACTGTCTTGTCATGACATACGACTGAGCTCTCACACACTTCTGTCGTGACCAGTTAGTGACTAACTGTCTTGTCATGACATACAACCGAGCTATCACACACTTCTGTCGTGACCAGTTAGTGACTAACTGCCTTGTCATGACAAACAACCGAGCTCTCACACACCTCTGTCGTGACCAGTTAGTGACTAACTGTCTTGTCATGACATACGACCGAGCTATCACACACTTCTGTCGTGACCAGTTAGTGACTAACTGTCTTGTCATGACATACGACTGAGCTCTCACACACCTCTTCTCGTGACCAGTTAGTGACTAACTGTCTTGTCATGACATACAACCGAGCTCTCACACACTTCTGTCGTGACCAGTTAGTGACTAACTGCCTTGTCATGACAAACAACCGAGCTCTCACACACTTCTGTCGTGGCCAGTTAGTTACTGTCTTGTCATGACATACAACCGAGCTCTCACACACCTCTGTCGTGACCAGTTAGTGACTAACTGCCTTGTCATGACAAACAACCGAGCTCTCACACACTTCTGTCGTGGCCAGTTAGTGACTGTCTTGTCATGACATACAAGCGAGCTCTCACACACCTCTGTCGTGACCAGCTGGTGACTAAATGTCTTGTCATGACATACGACCGAGCTCTCACACACTTCTGTCGTGACCAGTTAGTGACTAACTGTCTTGTCATGACATACGACCGAGCTCTCACACACCTCTGTCGTGACCAGCTGGTGACTAAATGTCTTGTCATGACATACGACCGAGCTCACACACACTTCTGTCGTGACCAGTTATTGACTAACTGTCTTGTCATGACATACAACCGAGCTCTCACACACCTCTGTCGTGACCAGTTAGTGACTAACTGTCTTGTCATGACATACGACCGAGCTATCACACACCTCTGTCGTGACCAGTTAGTGACTAACTGTCTTGTCATGACATACAACCGAGCTCCCACACACCTCTGTCGTGACCAGTTAGTGACTTACTGTCTTGTCATGACATACAACCGAGCTCTCACACACTTCTGTCGTGACCAGTTAGTGACTAACTGTCTTGTCATGACATACGACCGAGCTATCACACACTTCTGTCGTGACCAGTTAGTGACTAACTGTCTTGTCATGACATACGACTGAGCTCTCACACACCTCTTCTCGTGACCAGTTAGTGACTAACTGTCTTGTCATGACATACAACCGAGCTCTCACACACTTCTATCGTGACCAGTTAGTGACTAACTGCCTTGTCATGACAAACAACCGAGCTCTCACACACTTCTGTCGTGGCCAGTTAGTTACTGTCTTGTCATGACATACAACCGAGCTCTCACACACCTCTGTCGTGACCAGTTAGTGACTAACTGCCTTGTCATGACAAACAACCGAGCTCTCACACACTTCTGTCGTGGCCAGTTAGTGACTGTCTTGTCATGACATACAAGCGAGCTCTCACACACCTCTGTCGTGACCAGCTGGTGACTAAATGTCTTGTCATGACATACGACCGAGCTCTCACACACCTCTGTCGTGACCAGTTAGTGACTAACTGTCTTGTCATGACATACGACCGAGCTCTCACACACCTCTGTCGTGACCAGCTGGTGACTAAATGTCTTGTCATGACATACGACCGAGCTCACACACACTTCTGTCGTGACCAGTTAGTGACTAACTGTCTTGTCATGACATACAACCGAGCTCTCACACACCTCTGTCGTGACCAGTTAGTGACTAACTGTCTTGTCATGACATACGACCGAGCTATCACACACCTCTGTCGTGACCAGTTAGTGACTAACTGTCTTGTCATGACATACAACCGAGCTCCCACACACTTCTGTCGTGACCAGTTAGTGACTTACTGTCTTGTCATGACATACAACCGAGCTCTCACACACTTCTGTCGTGACCAGTTAGTGACTAACTGTCTTGTCATGACATACAACCGAGCTCTCACACACCTCTGTCGTGACCAGTTAGTGACTAACTGTCTTGTCATGACATACGACCGAGCTATCACACACCTCTGTCGTGACCAGTTAGTGACTAACTGTCTTGTCATGACATACAACCGAGCTCCCACACACCTCTGTCGTGACCAGTTATTGACTTACTGTCTTGTCATGACATACAACCGAGCTCTCACACACTTCTGTCGTGACCAGTTAGTGACTAACTGTCTTGTCATGACATACAACCGAGCTCTCACACACTTCTGTCGTGACCAGTTAGTGACTAGCTGTCTTGTCATGACATACGACCGAGCTCTCACAAACTTCTGTCGTGACCAGTTAGTGACTTACTGTCTTGTCATGACATATAACCGAGCTCTCACACACTTCTGTCGTGACCAGTTAGTGACTAACTGTCTTGTCATGACATACGACCGAGCTATCACACACTTCTGTCGTGACCAGTTAGTGACTAACTGTCTTGTCATGACATACGACTGAGCTCTCACACACCTCTTCTCGTGACCAGTTAGTGACTAACTGTCTTGTCATGACATACAACCGAGCTCTCACACACTTCTATCGTGACCAGTTAGTGACTAACTGCCTTGTCATGACAAACAACCGAGCTCTCACACACTTCTGTCGTGGCCAGTTAGTTACTGTCTTGTCATGACATACAACCGAGCTCTCACACACCTCTGTCGTGACCAGTTAGTGACTAACTGCCTTGTCATGACAAACAACCGAGCTCTCACACACTTCTGTCGTGGCCAGTTAGTGACTGTCTTGTCATGACATACAAGCGAGCTCTCACACACCTCTGTCGTGACCAGCTGGTGACTAAATGTCTTGTCATGACATACGACCGAGCTCTCACACACCTCTGTCGTGACCAGTTAGTGACTAACTGTCTTGTCATGACATACGACCGAGCTCTCACACACCTCTGTCGTGACCAGCTGGTGACTAAATGTCTTGTCATGACATACGACCGAGCTCACACACACTTCTGTCGTGACCAGTTAGTGACTAACTGTCTTGTCATGACATACAACCGAGCTCTCACACACCTCTGTCGTGACCAGTTAGTGACTAACTGTCTTGTCATGACATACGACCGAGCTATCACACACCTCTGTCGTGACCAGTTAGTGACTAACTGTCTTGTCATGACATACAACCGAGCTCCCACACACTTCTGTCGTGACCAGTTAGTGACTTACTGTCTTGTCATGACATACAACCGAGCTCTCACACACTTCTGTCGTGACCAGTTAGTGACTAACTGTCTTGTCATGACATACAACCGAGCTCTCACACACCTCTGTCGTGACCAGTTAGTGACTAACTGTCTTGTCATGACATACGACCGAGCTATCACACACCTCTGTCGTGACCAGTTAGTGACTAACTGTCTTGTCATGACATACAACCGAGCTCCCACACACCTCTGTCGTGACCAGTTAGTGACTTACTGTCTTGTCATGACATACAACCGAGCTCTCACACACTTCTGTCGTGACCAGTTAGTGACTAACTGTCTTGTCATGACATACAACCGAGCTCTCACACACTTCTGTCGTGACCAGTTAGTGACTAGCTGTCTTGTCATGACATACGACCGAGCTCTCACAAACTTCTGTCGTGACCAGTTAGTGACTTACTGTCTTGTCATGACATATAACCGAGCTCTCACACACTTCTGTCGTGACCAGTTAGTGACTAACTGTCTTGTCATGACATACAACCGAGCTCTCACACACTTCTGTCGTGACCAGTTAGTGACTAACTATCTTGTTATGACATACAACCGAGCTCTCACACACCTCTGTCGTGAGCAGTTAGTGACTAACTGTCTTGTTATAACATACAACCGAGCTCTCACACACCTCTGTCGTGACCAGCTGGTGACTAACTGTCTTGTCATGACACAACTGAGCTCTCACACACTTCTGTCGTGACCATTTAGTGACTAACTGTCTTGTCATGACATACAACCGAGCTCTCACACACCTCTGTCGCGACTCGCTTGTAACTTCCCGGACAACAGCATTTTACACAGGTAAGCCTTCATTCCCGTACGTGTATGACCACTTGAAATAACGACAACAGATGCTGCACCACAAAGCTAGTTTCATTCAAATTCAATACAGGGCAAGCATGTAAAGATATTTCTCGTAATCCACAAGCAAGATTTGGTTGTCTTGTTATCACGTTCCATAATGCTGCAAAAGTATTTTTAAGCGGCGGATTACTGCAACTGTCTATGACGAATCTGCAAACAAAATATATTAGAACGTGATATAACGAATAAAGGCAATCGCAATTAGTTTGACCAAATGCAAACACATCCTGCTTAGCTGTGGCTGCGGTATAAAGGCCATTAAAAGACTCTTTTATCTGAATTCACATTACACCCAATCTCATTAAAATCGGATCTTAGTTCTCGCTACCGTTAAACAAAGCTTTACGGCACTAATGTCAAATTAGCGACTACGCTATGAAACATATTTTGACAAATTCTCGATTTAAAATTTGAAACCTGAACAAAAAAACATTCTGGAATGGCCAATAGATGATCTAGATTGTATGGATTCAGTCGTTAATCCCGTAACTATCGTTATACCCCGTGTTAAAGTTTTCGAGTTTGCATGATTAGAAATCACATTCCGACTGTCACTTTCATGATCTGGTAAGCGACGTTCTTATTGGTCGGATGTAAGGTCGTTCTGACGTAACCCCTAATGGGATGATCTTTGTTTAGTGTGAGTGAGTTATAATTTTACATCGCATCGGCAATATTGCAGCCATATCGCGATGATCTTTGTTTAGGGGTAGCGAGAACTAAGATCTGATTTTAAAGAGACTGCATTACACCTAAATTATATCTCCGAACAGACTTGGAACAGCAGGCTTTAAAACGGTGCTGAAACATTATCAGATTCAATGTTTAAAGTTACTTACCTCAATTGCATATTTGTGGCCTCGCACAATTTTGATGTTTTTCACATCAATTATTATTAACCGGAGAATATGTTAAAATATCACAAAGTGATTGATTATGTAAATGTTATTATGGTTATATTGAGGATGAATATAACTTGTGCTGCATGTAAACAGTTACGTACAAAATATATACATGCATTTTATATCCTCTATCCAAATAAGAATACATTTAATTATTAATAGCCACATAATTTATTCTATTAATGACCACAAGAAGTATTGGTACTCAAGATCTAACTATAGTACCGTTTAAAAATGCATTAATATATATTTAATACGCAATATTTCAAACTTGATTAACCAACAATCATCATAAACGTCGTCGTTGTCCTAACCAACATCCCCAACCCCCGAACGAAAAAAGCACTTACGGCAATAGGGGTATGTGCTCTCTGTTGTGAGGTAGAACTTGCCCTGTCTGTTGGCCCTGTCGGAGAAATAGCCCATCTGTGGGCACGTGCCGGAACCACAGGTGCTGCACGAGCCTTCCGTGAAGTCCTTGTATGACGCACATGGATGCGCAGTGAAGTCGCAGCTTGTGTCGGCAAGGGAGGCAACCCAGTATTCGTGTGACTGAAGGTGGCTGCAGGAAACAGCTTCAGGCACTTCTGGAAAGGTGAGGTGAAGTGAGGTGAAATGGGGTTTAACGTCGCGTTCAAGATTAATACACTTATATAGCGACGTGCATGTACGTGTGTGTGTTTGTGTGGCTGCTTGTACTAGCTATAGTCCGGTTACTAGCTATAGTCCGGTACTGATGCCGATTTATAGTGCTAGCTCACTGAGATACCATGCCGCAGTTTAACATGAATACCTCACTCAGACACAGTATACTGACTCCGAGTCGACCAGTCCTTGTTTTAGCCCTTTAATGCCGAGCGCCAGACAGGGTTGCAACAAGTACCATCTTTTAACGTCTTTTGGTATGACGCGGCCGGGGATCGAACCCCGGTCCTTCCGCTCTCCGGGCGGACGCGGAAAGACGTTAGTATAAAATAGCATTCAACCGGTAAAAGGACAGGCCATTGAAGGTTAAAAAGTTACACATCTACACCAAGTATTCATATGCATACATGATCTCACACCCAACATGGAACAGGTACTTAGCAGAATGTAGAGAAAAGGTAATGAATAGATTTGTGTCTAATAAATATTATTCACAGGCAATATTAAGTCAGCTGTAGGATGTCACTTTGCCGATTACAAGGTTATTCTTTGACATGATACTAATCAAGGAAAGATAGGTTATGAAACGTTTGGAAGATTTTGAATTTAAAAACGTAGCTAACGTTTTCAAACAATCAGATGTAGATAACAGTAGACACCTTCAGTCGTTTAACAAACAGCACTGTAATAGTTAACTAATTGTGCCTACAAATGGAACCGCCCGTACGGATTCCGGGCAGGTTTATATGTCCTAATATACCATACTATGCTTGTGGTATGAGGTAGCTAAATGGATCTGATTGTCAGGCTCGCTGTCTTGGTTGATGCATGTCATCGTAACCCAGTTACGTGGATTTGTGTTCATGATGTCACTCAATGGATTGTCTCGATGACTCGATTTTTTACAGACCGCCGTCATATATTGTTGACTGCAGCTTCAAACAACAAGGGGGCACGGGTGGCCCAGTCGTCTAAGGCGCCGCAATTCGCTGTGCAGAGTTGCGTCCCCTGGAAACGCCAGAAACCTATGATTGTGGGTTCAAATCCCGGTTCACCCCGATTATGTTTCTAGGTTTGTCAGCACCATACCCGTGCTCGTAGGTTTCACCGAAGTGGTAAACGTCTAAGACCTGCATCACTTCGGGCTTTCCTCCCACATTAAGCTGACACGCCGTGATATAACTGGAATACTGTTAAAAGCGGCGTTAAACCTCACTCACTCTCTCACTCACTCACTCACTCACTCACTCACTCACTCACTCACTCACTTAATCACTCACTCACTCACTCACTCACTCAAACAACAAACATGCCTCTATAGAAAGTCAGATATGCAGATCTTACCCTTAAACTTGAACTCTACAGCGTCCAGCAGTCCATGCGAGACTGCAGGGGGACATCCGGGTTGGTGCCCGCCGCCATTAGGGTAGAAGTCCACGTGACCCCAGGCCGACATTGTTCCCAATCCTGGAGCCATTTAGTATTGTTATGTTATATACACCTTAACATGAGGGAAACATTATTCAGAAATGAAAGATAGGTGTGTGTGATATTAAGCATTTGTTTACTGCGACAATATAAATATGTTGCATAATGTTTGATAAATCGTTTTGCACCAACATGTCGACTGAATGCATTTGTGAGGTTCGTCACCATTAAAAAAACTAAGCCATATCATGACACCGGAAGCACAATTCGAATAACTAACCGAGCAGTTTTATAATCACTGTTACCTGCGTCATAGAGAGGTGCGCCATCGGTGTGGATGTTGTCAACATAGATGGCATCAGTCGGGTCCAGACGAACCGCAGGATCAGTTCCTTCAAATAATGGTCCGGCAGGGTCCAGCCCTGGAGAGAATTGATGTTAGATGACGATATCAGCGTGGGAATAACTGGCTAGTATCAATGATGACCCTTCCAGTACAGATCCATATTGTCAGTCAACGTTTTCTACCGTCTAAATAGGAAATGAACAGTGCTACTTGCCTTGAAAAGTTGGAAGGTTCGATTTAATTCGGCACATGTATTAAATTTGCAAGCTAAGTCTGACCAGCTACTGAGATTGAAGAAAATATTTAAACCGCGTTTGCAGATAAGATTTGATTGTTTGTTGTTTAACGCCGCACTCAGCAATATTCCAGCTATATGATGGCGGTCTGTAAATAATCGAGACTGGACCAGACAATCCAGTGATTGACATCATGAACATCGATCTACGCAATTGGGATACGATGACATGCATCAACCAAGTCAGCGACCTTGACCACCCGATCCCGTTAGTCGCCTCTTACGACAAGCATTGGTTGCTGAAGACCTGTTCTACCCCGGATCTTCACGGGTCCTCTCTATCTGGGATTCGAACATGATTGCCATGTCATTAACATTATCTCCCTGTCACTGGTATTGACAGGAGGTATGAGAATTTGAAAACTATCAATACGTTAAGAACGTAGTTTTGTGAATATCCTGATCCCGTTAGTCGCCTCTTACGACAAGCATAGTCACCTTTTACGGCCAGCATTGGTTGCTGAAGACCTATTCTACCCCGGATCCTCACGAGTTTGCAGATAAGAACTATAATAATGTCCATATCATAACTTGTATGCTTTTTAATGGCAATAAAATGGTAGAGTGTCCCCAGTAATGATGTCAACTGTGTGAACCAAATCCGAACCTGAGATTCTTCCAATGCCCTCGACACGTGACCCGACGTAGCCGCTGATGTGAGAACCAAGACTGTGCCCCATCAGATGCACGTCCGCCATCTTTGCTCCCATCATGTCACGTGCAATTTCAACTGCCTTTGCAATTATGGCACCCACCAGTCGAGTGTTTGCTGCTGATTTGGGATAGAACTTATGAGCTCCTGACTTCCAGTCTACTGTGATTACATTGAAGTTGTCCTGCGGGAAAATAACATGTTAAAGTGGTTATTAAAGTCCATGAAACACCTTCTATGAAAATTACATACGCCAGTGAAGGGGGGTTGCGTAATAAAGTGGTTTAAAGCGCCACACAATGCCATTCTACTTAAATAGTACAGTTCTGTTTTAGTTGGGGGGCACGGGTGGCCCAGTTTTACTAAGGCAAGGCGATGAGTTGCGAGTTGCGTCCCTTGGGCACGCTTGAAACCTATGATTGTGAGTTCGAATCCCGGATCGCCCCGATTATGTTTCTAGGTTTGTCAGCACCATACCCGTGCTCGTGGGTTTCACCGAAGTAGTAAACGTCTGAGGCCTGCATCACTTCGGGCTTTCCTCCCATATTAAGCTGACACGCCGTGATATAACTGGAATACTGTTAAATGCGGCGTTAAACCCAACTCACTCACTCACTGATTTTGTTGATAGGACAGGAAGTTACCGCTTGTCTCCGATAACATTGATTTTGTGTGAAAACTGTGTTACATGTTCCTTGTGAAAGAGGGTCGTTTAATACATGTATAGATATGATTTAAAATGATCAATCTGGGTCCAGTAATGGTTGTGATTTACGCGAGACAACTTACCAGGCGAAGAAGGTACTTGGTGGAATTTGTCACCCAAGGCTTATCTGCCTCGCTGAGATATCCATGTACAATTATTTTTGTTTTCTCTTTAACATCATATAGACTGTTTATAAAACTGGATACATTTTTGTAGTCTAATATTTGGCCTTGACCTTTACTTTTTCTTGTGTACAAGGTCAGAGTAACTTTCACTTCATCAGGCGAATCCGGTAGCTCTCCAAACGTGTTGTCGAAACCATTGTCCCTGGAGAAACATCCCAAGTCACCATAACAAACCGATGATTTTCCAAACAATAAAGCTGAAAATAATAAAGTTTGAAATGATAATGGAACATGCAACTAAATTTGGTGATCGTAATTGATATTAAGTAGTCCTGTGTCCTTAAGCAAATTGTTTGTTTTAAATATGAAATGGTTCAGTTAAGAAATGAGTTGAAGCATTTTCAACTCTAAGCATTTTCAACAGGATCTAACAATAAGTATTATCAACAAAGGTAGTGATGCTTGCTGCTGTGTTATCAATAAAAGTACTGATGCTAGATACTGTGTTAGCAATGAAAGCACTGATGCTAAATACTGTGTTAGCAATGAAAACACTGATGCTAGATACTGTGTTAGCAATGAAAGCACTGATGCTAGATAGTGTGTTAGCAATGAAAACACTGATGCTAGATAGTGTGTTAGCAATGAAAACACTGATGCTAGATACTGTGTTAGCAATGAAAACACTGATGGTTGCTGCTGTTATCAATGAAAGCAGTGATGGCGCTGTGTTATCAATGACGGCAGTGATGGTGGCAGCTGTGTTATCAGTGAAGGCAGCGATGGTGGCAGCTGTGTTATCAATGTAGGCAGTGCTGGTTGCAGCTGTGTTATCAGTAAAGGCAGTGATTGTTGCAGCTGTGTTATCAATGTAGGCAGTGCTTGATGCAGCTGTGTTATCAGTGAAGGCAGCGATGGTGGCGGCGGTGTTATCAGTGGAGACAGTGCTGGTTGCAGCTGTGTTATCAATGACGGCAGTGATGGTTGCTGCTGTGATATCAGTGAAGGCAGTGATGGTTGCAGCTGTGTTGTCAATGGTTGGTAGTGATGGCGTTGTGTTATCAATGCAGGCAGTGCTGGTTGCTGCTTTGTTATCAGTAAAGGCAGTGATGATTACAGCTGTATTTTCAATGGGTGGCAGTGATGGTGTTGTGTTATCAATGCAGGCAGTGATGGTTGCAGTTATGTTATCAATGGTTGGCAGTGATGGTTGCTGCTGTGTTGTCAATGGGTGGCAGTGATGGTTGCTGTTGTGTTATTAGTAAAGGCACTACTGGTTGCAGTTATGTTATCAATGGGTGGCATTGATGGTTGCTGTTGTTTTATCAATGGGTGGATGTGATGGTTGCTGCTGTGTTATCAGTGAAGGCAGTGCTGGCTGCTGCTGTGTTATCAATAGGTGGCAGTGATGGTTGTTGCTCTGTTGTCAATGGATGGCAATGATGGTTGCTGTTGTGTTATCAGTAAAGGCAGAGCTAGTTGCAGCTGTGTTGTCAATAGGTGGCAGTGATGGCGCTGTGTTATAATGGAGACAGTGCTGGTTGCAGCTGTGTTATCAATGGGTGGCAGTGATGGTTGCAGCTGTGTTATCAGTGAAGGCAGCGATGGTGGCAACTGTGTTATCAATGACGGCAGTGCTGGTTTCAGCTGTGTTATTAGTGAAGGCAGCGATGGTGTTGTGTTATCAATGTAGGCAGTGCTGGTTGCAGCTTCGTTATCAGTGAAGGCAGCGATGGTGGCAGCTGTGTTATCAATGTAGGCAGTGCTGGTTGCAGCTGTGTTATCAGTGAAGGCAGCGATGGTGGCGGCGGTGTTATCAGTGGAGACAGTGCTGGTTGCAGCTGTGTTATCAATGAAGGCAGCGATGGTGTTGTGTTATCAATGTAGGCAGTGCTAGTTGCAGCTTCGTTATCAGTGAAGGCAGCGATGGTGGCAGCTGTGTTATCAATGTAGGCAGTGCTGGTTGCAGCTGTGTTATCAGTGAAGGCAGCGATGGTGGCGGCGGTGTTATCAGTGGAGACAGTGCTGGTTGCAGCTGTGTTATCAGTGAAGGCAGCGATGGTGTTGTGTTATCAATGTAGGCAGTGCTAGTTGCAGCTTCGTTATCAGTGAAGGCAGCGATGGTGGCAGCTGTGTTATCAATGTAGGCAGTGCTGGTTGCAGCTGTGTTATCAGTGAAGGCAGCGATGGTGGCAACTGTGTTATCAATGACGGCAGTGCTGGTTTCAGCTGTGTTATTAGTGAAGGCAGCGATGGTGTTGTGTTATCAATGTAGGCAGTGCTGGTTGCAGCTTCGTTATCAGTGAAGGCAGCGATGGTGGCAGCTGTGTTATCAATGTAGGCAGTGCTTGTTGCAGCTGTGTTATCAGTGAAGGCAGCGATGGTGGCGGCGGTGTTATCAGTGGAGACAGTGCTGGTTGCAGCTGTGTTATCAATGACGGCAGTGATGGTTGCTGCTGTGATATCAGTGAAGGCAGTGATGGTTGCAGCTGTGTTGTCAATGGTTGGTAGTGATGGCGTTGTGTTATCAATGCAGGCAGTGCTGGTTGCAGCTGTGTTATCAATGGATGGCAGTGATGGTTGCTGCTTTGTTATCAGTAAAGGCAGTGATGATTACAGCTGTATTTTCAATGGGTGGCAGTGATGGTGTTGTGTTATCAATGCAGGCAGTGATGGTTGCAGTTATGTTATCAATGGTTGGCAGTGATGGTTGCTGCTGTGTTGTCAATGGGTGGCAGTGATGGTTGCTGTTGTGTTATTAGTAAAGGCACTACTGGTTGCAGTTATGTTATCAATGGGTGGCAGTGATGGTTGCTGTTGTTTTATCAATGGGTGGATGTGATGGTTGCTGCTGTGTTATCAGTGAAGGCAGTGCTGGCTGCTGCTGTGTTATCAATAGGTGGCAGTGATGGTTGTTGCTCTGTTGTCAATCGGTGGCAATGATGGTTGCTGTTGTGTTATCAGTAAAGGCAGAGCTAGTTGCAGCTGTGTTGTCAATAGGTGGCAGTGATGGCGCTGTGTTATAATGGAGACAGTGCTGGTTGCAGCTGTGTTATCAATGGGTGGCAGTGATGGTTGCTGTTGTGTTATCAGTAAAGGCAGAGCTGGTTGCAGCTGTGTTGTCAATGGGTGGCAGTGATGACGATGTGTTATCAATGCAGACAGTGCTGGTTGCAGCTGTGTTATCAGTAAAGGCAGTGATGGTTGCAGCTGTGTTATCAATGAAGGCAGTGATGTTTCCTGCTGTTCAATCAATGTTGACAGTGATGATTGCTGCTGCGTTATCAACCATGTCATTAAATTGTTTATATCTGCCACCATTTTTAATCGTAGAATATAGAGGATATTATCTGAGTGTTTATGCCATACCATGTTTACGACACGAGTGCCTTAATACCGAAATTTTGGCACGAGTGTCGTAAACATAGTGTGACATGAACACGAATATAATGTTCTATTTCTTACGGAAGAAGATATCTACATACAGAACGAATTTTAGTGTTAACCTATAAGGACGGTAAGTCCCAACAACAGCGGAACCACAATTTGTCGAATGACGTCAACAGCTATGACGTCGTTTCTAGTGTGACGCCATTCCGACCTCACGTCACAATACGATTCCAACGGAAACAATACACTGTTGTTTCGTGACGTGATATGACCCGAGGGCACATATAATGTGTATGAACCCCGATATGTCTGCCCTCGTAGGTAATACATAGAGGATATTTCCCATGTCGAGTGAATATCATATTTCTCTCATCGAGTGACAGGGGAAGATATTTTCACCAGACACATGGAAAATCCTATTTATTATAAACTTTTTGTGTAGTTACCGGATAGTTAAAGTATTTCATTACAAATAAAATGTACAAACCTTGAAATGTACATTTTCCCTATGTTACACACAGGAACGGGTCCCAGCCCCTTGTGTTTGCGACTAAAAAGTAGTTTCGTGTTTGCAAAAACATAAAAAAATATAAATGAAAGTAACACAAAATATTTTGTGGCACGAAAATTCTGTATCATACATATAAATATGATTATATACAAATCAACTTTAAAGAAATATATTCTTGAAAACTTCGAGACCGCTGTTGCAAGTTAAAGAATACACGCTGGTCAAGTAACAAAAATAGCGCTTTGCGAAAGGAAGTTCAACGGTCTCGATTGAAGAGTTAAGTGAGAAATTTACGGTTTATAACGGAACCTTTTCAAGAGAATAACAAACGCCATGAAGCGATATTAACTCCATAAATGACCATCTGTCCTTATTTTGCCTTGTCTATGTTGGTCTAACGTAAAATGGAAGTCAACAGTTTGTGAACGTGCCAGACACTTACGATAAAGGGAGACAATTCGAGGGGAGGCCACTCTTGTATGACAATATGTTCACTGCAGTGAAATATCACGTGTTATGTTCACTGCAATGAAAATATCCCTTTTCTCAATTTCGGAAAACTCAGCCTTTCACACTTAAGTATATAATAAATGTGTATATTTTAATTTTCGGCATAACCTGAAAATAATCGCAAGCGGCAAGGTGTACATACTGCTTGGGTACCATGCAGGAAGCAGAGGGATCGTTAGTCCCCAGGTCCAAATTATGGTGATCAGTAGCCTGAACAACTATGTATATTAATCTTGAACTTTGTTACATATAAATACAAGTGACCCCTTTTCGATATGTTCTAAGATAGCGGACCTATGTATCCATGGGTAATTGCGCGCTTCAAAACGGGTGTGTGATATTTGACGCAGTGCTCAGCAATATCATAGCTTTTTTTTCTTTTTTCTTTTTGTTTAACGCCGTACTCGGCAAATTCCAGCTTGAAGACGGCGGTCTGCAAGTAATCGCGCCTGGACCAGACAATCCAGAGACTGATATAGCATCCAAGCCGTTGGGGAACGTTAACACACAATCAACAAAGTCACCACCCGATCCCTTAATCCTTCTCTTAAGACCACCATAGGTTACTGGGCATCAATTCGATATCACGGGGGACTGTCCTTTGTAAATATGAATACGTTCCTAAAATCAAACGCCTGGAAAGTGAGGATTCCTGATTAAACGGACTCCGGATTGACGGTGTTTCACTCAAAGTCTACTTGTAAAAGTCTTGCATCCTACCTTCCGTCCCCAGAACGAAAACACCCAGCAGGACGCACAATGTAGTCATCGTCATGGTTCTGGACTGACTCGGGGCGATAGCTGGCTGCACTATCTATAGCAGTAGGTACACCACGTGCTCATTCCCACCTTATCTTGACACACCTTAGTGCTTTTTTGAAAATATGTGTCACTTATTTATGTCGCAAACCAAGGACTGCGTACATGAATAGACAAATATACTGTGTTTATCTCACACAGAGAACACATGATTTTGTATGTCCCTGGGTCTTCACAGAATCTCTCACATAAATAACATCCCTCTCATACTTGCATGTACTTTGTCTGTCTTTGAAATTAGTAAAATAAACTTGCAAACAATTACTGATGTTTCAGAATAATAATTATTTCACCGGTTTTCTGATCAGCTCTTAAATGGCAGTCTAGTCGTAAATGCACCTTTAACTGCACACTTGAGAATACCATCACAAAAATCAATACCGAGGTATATTTTATTCGACATTTTTTCTAAACAAATAGAATCCTTTCTCCAGCCAGTTTTACATCTCTAATGTTCAGCAATAGTAGGGTCCATTGGCTGACGTCTTCAGAAAGAAGGAGCCGTGTTTTGACGGCGAGGCGTGGTACCCCATGTGACTACAGCCATGGCTGCCGCATGACGTGCAGTGGCCTTGTTCGTAGTTCTGTTGTGTGCAGGGGAATGCGTTGTAGCTGCAGTGGTTATTGATGGAGGATGTGAAGAAGTCAAGCACACGGCTGTGACTGCAGGAGGCGCCATCCTTCAGCTCTGTAACAAAGTAATAATTCGTGGTTGTGGTCTTGCCACAAAACGTTTTAACGTTGTGTTTAACGCCACATTTGGTAACGTTACAGTTACATGTATATGAAGTTGGTCTGAAATACAATCGAGCATAGTGTCGAGTATCATTGAGTCGGGCATCAACCCACGCCCTCCGCGTACGATGACACGTAATAAACGAGACTGACCACAAGAGGAGGCCACGGGTGGCCAAGTCGTCTAAGGCGCCGCGATTCGCTGTGCAGAGTTGCGTCCCTTTGACAAGCCAGAAACCTGTGATTTTGGGTTCGAATCCCGGTTCGCCCCAATTATGTTTCTAGGTTTGTCAGCACCATACCCGTGCTCGTGGGTTTCACCGAAGTAGTAAACGTCTGAGACCCAGATTAAGCTGACACGCCGTGTTATAACTGGAATAGTGTTAAAAGCGGCGTTAAATCCAACTCACTCACTGACCATCCGATCTATAGAGTCGCCTTTTGCGACCAGCATTGGATGCTTGAGTCCGATTCTAACGCGGGATGCCAACGAGGTGTTTTTTGTAAACATAGTTCCAATCTTATAATCATAGCATTGCTGCTCGAAATATATGTCATCAGATGTGTACGATAAATGACGTCATCTAATAGCAATGAACGTCGAATAAACAATGAATTATGACGTCTTCTTCTCTGTATTATCATTGATACTTCCAGAACCGCAAGCCGTCTGCTGTACACTATGAAAATAAAAAAGATAATGCCCTTTCTATAATTATGAGAAATCTCCATTGTACGATTTCGACTAGATCATAGAGTATGTCAGTGAATCACTGTCAAATAATAATGAGACAAGAAGTTCGCGAAACGGTGAACGCACCCTGCACCACCGGTATCACAAACACATGCAAAGGCAAATCAACTTTTCGTCTGAAAAAGGTAAGGGAACATATAGTATCAAACATCATGCATCAAACATCATACCATAAATCGTTCCGAAAGCTTTACTATAGCCTTGAACTTTTTCAGGAAGACACTCGTTGAAATTGTCGTAGAAAAAACCCCAAAAAACCATGCTCGATTGTAATCAAAGGTTGTGAAATGTAGACACTAAGGCTTAAACTGCTGGACTATTGCTCGACATAAAGAGAAAGATGAATATTGGAAAGTTGAAGTCAAAAGTGCTGTTGTGTTATATTATTTAGTAATAGCACTGAGGACACGGGACTTACTTGACATGCCCCCCGTGACGAAGCTGAAGATGTGGTTACCGGTGTTGGCGGGGCAGCCGGGCTGGTTGAGTCCGCCATTGGGGTAGAAGTCAGCATCTCCAATAGCCTTTATGAGGCCGAAACCTGGTAGTTAAACAACCTTGATATTCTCATATGTATTTTACAGCAACCTTGATATTCTCGTATGCATTTAACAGCAACCTTGGTATTCTCAAATGTATTTTACAGCAACCTTGATATTCTCATATGTATTTTACAGCAACCTTGATATTCTCAAATGTATTTTACAGCAACCTTGGTATTCTCATATGTATTTTACAGGAACCTTGGTATTCTCATATGTATTTAACAGCAATCGTGATATTCTCATCTGTATTTTACAGCAACCTTGATATTCTCAAATGTATTTTACAGCAACCTTGATATCCTCATATGTTTTTAACAGCAACCTTGGTATTCTCAAATGTATTTTACAGCAACCTTGATATTCTCATACGTATTTTATAGCAACCTTAGTATTCTCATATGTATTTTACAGCAACCTTGATATTTTCATATGTATTTTTCAGCAACCTTGATATTCCCATATGTATTTTACAGCAACCTCGATATTCTCATATGTATTTTACAGCAACCTTGAAATTCCCATATGTATTTTACAGCAACCGTGATATTCTCATACGTATTTTACAGCAACCTTGATATTCTCATATGTGTTTTACAACAACCTTGATATTCCCATATTTATTTTACAGCAACCTTGGTATTCTCATATGTATTTTACAGCAACCTTGATATTCTCATATGTATTTTACAGGAACCTTGGTATTCTCATCTGTATTTTACAGCAACCGTGATATTCTCAAATGTATTTTACAGCCACCTTGATATTCTCATATGTGTTTTACAACAACCTTGATATTCCCATATTTATTTTACAGGAACCTTGGTATTCTCATCTGTATTTTACAGCAACCGTGATATTCTCATATGTATTTTACAGCAACCTCGATATTCCCATATTTATTTTACAGCAACCGTGATATTCTCATATGTATTTTACAGCAACCGTGATATTCTCATATGTATTTAACAGCAACCTTGATATTCTCAAATGTATTTAACAGCAACCTTGATATTCCCATATGTATTTAACAGCAACCTTGATATTCCCATATGTATTTTACAGCAACCTTGATATTCTCATATGTATTTAACAGCAACCTTGATATTCTCATATGTATTTTACAGCAACCTCGATATTCTCAAATGTATTTTACAGCAACCTTGATATTCCCATATGTATTTTACAGCAACCTTGATATTCCCATATGTATTTTATAGCAACCTTGATATTCCCATATGTATTTTACAGAAACCTTGATATTCCCATATGTATTTTACAGCAACCGTGATATTAACATATGTACTAGTATTTAACAGCAACCTTGATATTCTCATATGTATTTTACAGCAACCTTGGTAATCTCATATGTATTTTACAGGAACCTTGATATTCTCATATATATTTTACAGCAAAGTCATACTTGCACAGTTACTCTGATACTGACATACGAATGATGATTTGCCACGACCTCTTTCCAACGACTTTAAAAAAAAAGAAATTATCAAGCTCTGTGTAACACGCCTGTTCAAATATTGATAGTGTGTAAACGAAGTTTGATCATTTGTCTGAAAGTATTCAGTTTCTATGATCCTATTGAAACAACATATACTGGGACCCTCGAGACAATTGTATAGATAGCATGGTCAGCAATGGAAAAACTCTCACCAAGTTTTAACAACGACTCTCCATCTGTGTGAATGGCGTCAACAAAGTTGGCGTCTGATGGATCGAGGCGGGTGCGAGGGTCATAGTTCTCAAAGGAGGGCCCAGCCGGATCCAAACCTGTAACAAGTGATGTTAATCATCGCCGCATCTGTCGAGTACCTCGACGACAGATGTCTTTTATTATTCTTGTCCCCTTCAAAAGCAAGTGAGTGAGTAGGTAAGCTTGAGTGACCGCATCAGACCAGTGAGGAAAGTTTAGTAATACCAAAACCTGAGAAAAAGGACAGGACTCGCGGATAAGCAGGAGTGGGGGTAAGCAGGAGTGGGGGTAAGCAGGAGTGGGGGTAAGCAGGAGTACTAATGTGACCTGTGCCTCCAATTTGGTGACTTCTGCCCTCAATGTGTACATTTGGAGACATCTCTTAAAGGGGAAATAAAGTCAACAAAACAACGTTACAGATTTTAATACTTGAGGGCTGATTAAGCACAAATGCGTCACCAAAATTAAATTTGAAAAAAAAAACGGAAATAGAAAAAGGTGATAAGAAACAAGCGAAATCGTCCTCGAAACAAATACTTCCGCCACTGAGGAGGTTCCCCTTATTTTAACACAGCTTCCGGGGTTTGAAACGCTGTGCAATTTTACGCTTATAACGATAGGTCCGACGCTCAGTCTGCCCGTTTCTGCCTCAGATGTTTTAATAGCATAACGTCTTTTTTTCAGTTTGCTCACCATGTCCACAACTTATGTAATCTTACTTTTATAAAAGATGCCTTCAGTTGTTTACTCAGAGGATTAATCCCTGATGGGCATTTACTCCGCGGAATAGCGCCGAGGGCGGCTAGTGTTTTATTACCCCAAAAGGATGTTAGTAATAAAACGCTAATTACCGACTGTTATTTGTTATTTTAATTATTCTTAATTTCAAGATCAAGTGTTGTTTCACACATTCAACAATGTATGCAATGTTATTTTTATAGGATTAACAGATACACCGGAAACAGTATATATACAACGGTTAAGAATCACAAGATTGGTAAACGGGATAAACGTATTAGCCAATGAAAACAATTGTCACCGCTGCGCCGGTAGCTTTAAGCCACGCCTTCAAATAGGTCGGTTTGTAAGCCGATTACGGAGCGTGTGATTTCAGCGTTTTCACTTTCATTACATACTTTCTACTAATATTATGAATTTCTCTCTCTCGGACAATGATGTATCAAGGAAAATTGATATACGCAAAACAATCGCTATCATTCTTTTCACTTTACTTACCCTGATAGTTTCCACATATCGACGAGTCATGTCAGCAGAAGATACCTCAGCACACACACTTACCTGTGATCCTGCCAAGACCATGAACGATCTCGCCGGCGTAGCCGCTGATGTGGGAACCGAGGCTGTGACCGATGAGGTGGAAGTTGGAGTAGGCAGCTCCTGCAGAATGAAGGGTCTTGATCATGTCGGCAATGACGGCGCCGACGACCCTGGTGTTGGCAGCAGCCTGAAGGTAGTTGGTTTTAGCAGCCCCCTTCTCCCAGTTTACGGCGATGACGTTACAGTCTGCCTGTACAGGATGCAATGGTTAATTGGTAACTACAGTATAATCACTGTTTGGGACACGTCAGTTGAGGTCTGTCTTTAGTACATGCGGGCAATCACACCCTTGTTCTTTTCATGACGAATGAACACTTTCAATTCTATTTTTTCTTCTCCATGAACTCATGATGAACTTCCTGTCTGTTGTTCAAGGTTTCACGATTTCTATATGTGGTTTTCTTTTTTAGTGTGATTACTTGTAATAAGAAAATAAACGATGTATATTGGATTTGACTGTAAAAAGGATATTTGAAAAATCGAAGAAAATATAATACATTCATTTAATAGCTGATAATCATAATTTCGTGGTGGTTCTTCAAGGTTTTTTTGGACCGCCTCCGTGGATAGAGTGTGGTAAGTCGGTGGCTCGATTCCCGGCCGCGTCAAACCAAAAGACTGAACAAGCTGTTACACTGCCTGGCACTCGGCATTAAGGTGATAAAAAAAGAACTGGTTGGCTCGTAGTCAGTATGCTGTGTCTGAGTGGAGTGTCCGTGTTAAGCTGCGGCATGCTATCTCAGTAAAAACTGTCAACTGTATAACTGGCAATAATCCAGGCTAATACAAGCAGCCATTATTACACGTGGCTATTAGTCCAATAATCTTTAACCCCACTTCACCTCATCATTACTTTATTATTCATTGCCTAAATACCATAGGGGCGGTCGGGTAGCATAGTGGTTAAAGCATTTGCTCGTCACGCCGAAGACCCGGGTTCGATTCCCGACATGGGTACAATGTGTGAAGCCCATTTCAGGTGTCCCCCGCCGTGATATTGCTGGAATATTGCTAAAAGCGGCGTAAAACCATACTCACTCACTCTAAATACCATACGTTTGTCAGTAATTCTTGAGTCATTTTCTTGATCCAATCAGCGCGTCCGTTGTCTGTATATCCATGTGTGATCATCTTGGTGGGATGTGCGTGGTTGTAGTGTGACTGATGTACGCTGTTGGAATCGGCTTCTTTCAGGATTTGGGCTTGTCCTTTGTTCGTCCTTGTGTACAGCAGGAATTGTATGCCCTGAGATTCCGGGGATTCTGGGAGGAAGCGTTTGGCATTGTTGTACGGGCTTGCGTTGCTGAAGCAACCATACTTTCCGTAGCACTTGGAATTAGTGAAGATAAGACCTGCAATCATAAATTTCCGCCATTATTTCAAACATTCTTATATCACAAAGTTCCAGTTAACTTGGGGAAAACGATGGCTGTAACAAATTCTATTAAATAAATACATACAGCAGTTGTCATATATCAGAGGTCTTGATCGTAAATGACTTAGACCAACGGGATGGTGTCGCAACTGTTTACCATCTCCACAATGGCGTAACTGTTTTTAGGGTGTAAAGGGATCCGGCAGCGATTTGCCGTTCGGTATAGCCGTGGTCAGTTGTTTTAGACATGGCTAGGCAACTCACAGGGCCGTGAGGGTTTTCGCTTAGTTAAGGAGAAGTTGAGATATTTGTTGTCAATTAGATACCGTAATTTTCTAATGTCTACCTTTATTCAATGCCACCACGAACGAGCATCAACTGATCTACATGTAAGCCTCTTCACGTGGCTTTGTTTAAATCCACGAAGAAAAATTGCACAGCATTATTAACAATGAATCACCAGTTCTGACAGGACATATTAGGTTTACATAAATACATGCACAGTATCCACTGATACTCATGTACCAACAAGTGGGCACGGGTGGCCCAGTCGTCTAAGGCGCCGCGATTCGCTGTGCAGAGTTGCGTCCCTTTGGAACGCCAGAAACCTATGATTGGTGGTTCGAATCCCGGTTCACCCGATTATGTTTCTAGGCCTGTCAGCACCAGACCCGTGCTCGTGGGTTTCGCCGAAGTGGTAAACGTTTGAGACCTACATCACTTCGGTCTTTCCTCCCACATTAAGCTGACACGCCAGTATAACTGGAATACTGTTAAAAGCGGCGTTAAACCCAACTCACTAACTTCAAACTTACGAACCTGTGAATTGCTAATATTACGAAACGTTTCCAACACTGTGTCAGCGCTACCACGTGTCCATATCTTGGAATATAGATCACCGCGTCAGTGCTACACCTGTTCATGTATTTGGGTAAAGATTACGGTGTGAGCTGCTCTACAATCAGAGAACAGTTACACCTTTTGATGGAACTGGAACCTGTCCACGATTTGCTATAATGCTCACCGTGTGTGCCACCAAACACACAGACGAGAAGAGGAAACAGCATGGCAGCCATGAGTCGTGGCGGAGACAGACGACAACCTTGACAGAATACACAGGGTCTTATCACTAAGTCGTGATACAATTTAGTTTTATCAAAGTGGCACCAATGCTGAAAACACTTATTATTCATGCAATAATACATGGCGTCACATGGCTTTAGTCATAATTCATTAATCAGCTTTTCCTTAGTGTTGTCATGTGACTTTACTAATAAAACTAATACAAACCAACGATTTAATCATTTACAAAGGAATACATACATATTATAACTATTGCGATGAATATACTTCAAAACGCACTTATTATTCGCAGAAATATTCATAAACATTTTTAAAATCATGTAAATATGAAAACTATCACAAGCTGGTTATCAGGAAATCCGATGCCAAACTATTTCTTACCAACTTTACTTAACTTTACAGCTGCTAATGGATATTACTCAGTTTCAACATCGAGGCTCATAAACTGCACATATCTCACACACACACGCATGCACATGCAGAAACGCACGCACGCACGCACGCATTCACACACACACACACACACACACACATTTTGTAAAATGCATCACCATAGTCAGCATACCTAAGGTTCTTCAACACAATCTGAAATCTTGTTAATTCCGAAACCCGTCGTGCACCCCATCGTATCTCATGATGCCATTGATCATGTTTCAGTATCCACGCCGCTCTTAGATGACTGTTGTTGGAGTCATTATATCTGACAACACCTCTGAACCTCTCGCTCGACACCCGCGGGGTTTTCAGTATTCCGGTGCGTGGGCAGACACACATACCGGTTTCGACCACCACAATTTACTTTTTGCCTTTACGCAAAGAGAGTTGAATGATGGGTAAAACGTCTTTCCACATCAGACGTTCATTACAGCTCCCGTGTGTACTAATACCCACAACGAAAATCGACTTCTGGTTCCTTTTGCTTTTCAGTAAACAGAGTAATCTTGCTCCATGTTCGTGTGTGAGGAGTCCTTCATGGATGACGTTGGTCGTGCCGTCTCACACGGCAGCCACGTAGTTCAAGTAGGAGAAGCACAGCAGTTGCATCCACCCTTAACAGTACTCCAGCCACCCTGGAAACATACGACACAATACAGACCTCTCTTAATCTTTATGTATGACCCCAAGGTCAAACTCCAAAACGAGGTTTTCCCCGCATGGCGGCAGAGCAAACACCCGGAAGTGATTGATCGCTCGTCTCGCATGTCTCGTTCAGCTTCGTCAAGAATTTGGTTCAAAGTCAATCTAAGAGTGCGAGGAGTTCCCCGTTGAACAAGGGATTCCATTACAACAGCGATGGGTTCATCAACAGTATTAAAAGTACGTATAGTGTGCTTTTACACCAAATAACAATGACCACTTTGACAGGTCACGTTACCTTTCATGGCATATGCTGTTGTTTTGAACTAATATTGATGAGCGTAACATGAATGGGCTAAGACAGCCATAATGACTGATAACCAGCCCTTTAAATGTGTGTAAGCGCTATATTTTATTTATTTTAATTCTTGTGTTTTGGGGTATTACGGTAGTCTATAGATCTAATTAAATATGATTATTATTAAGGTTATGGTTTATACTGTGTCACGTATATTGCAACCGTCATAAATACCAATGTTTTTGGCTATAGATCTAAATAGTGTTTTTTGTTTAAACCATAATCATTCACGATCATTCACAAATCTTCCTTTTAATTCAGTTCTGTTTCATAGTTGAATGTGTGTATGTAGTAATTATTATAGTTCCAGCGTCGTGCAAAGAATTCCTGTGGCCCGACTCATGTGAAATCCCACATAACTTAGAGGTAAGGACTATGAAATAAATATGTCGTATTCATGTTCAATTAATCAAATTAATTTGTATCAATTGGTATGGAAGTTACATTTAACTGCAACAATAATTCTGGGTAACAGACCATGCAGATTATCCTATTAATGCAAATTATATAAAATATTTTTTTTTTAAAAGTCAATTTGACTCGACACAATGTTTGAAGTGTTTAATAGTAGAACGCTTATTAAATTGCATTCATACAATTGACATCTGCATGTTTTTCTTCACAACTTCAATGTATTTTTCAGATTTATCTGAAGTGAGGGTTTCTGCAACAAACTGTTTCTGTGCCATCAGACAGATCGCGCCAGTGCTATGGACATCAGTTTAAATACAATGTATGTACATTGAGTAATAAAATAATTGCGTCTCAAACGATTTGACACGTTCATCTCTCACAGGCAATTTTAGCACAATTCTATAAGAGTGTGCAAGGAAACCATAATCAAGCAACTGTCCACAGCTGATTGATAGTTTTGAAAATTCTGCAACATGGACTCTCAAGGATATTATGGTTTGTATTTCTCCTATTTATTCGGCTGAAAGCTGACTACAGTTAAATAGGAAAGGGGGAATATTGAGACTTTTTCTTGTGTGCAAAGTGGTGGCAATAGTAAAGCCTTGGTCTGACCCCACACTATCACCAGGCTGTACAAGATCAAGAAAAATACCAAACACTTCATAGCTTTGTCATCTTAACATCAGACATACCAGCTGTAGACAAACATGGTACAAAGTTCACAGCATCGTGAGAGGCTATACCAATCAGGCTTTAGAGTGGGCGGCTAGTTTTGTAAAGTGTATAAAACTTTTGAGTGGAGGACAAAGGCCTATGGGATTTGAATTTTTATTTCAGTGCAGTCAACAGCATAGTCCTGGGTCTTCAAGCCAAGGAAACAGTGTCAGAACACACATAATACATGCTACACATTTTGTTGGCACTGGGTTGATTAAAATAAAAACATCACTTGAAAGTATCAGTCAGTAAAGAAATATAATATTGCATGAAACGGGTCAGTTCTAGTTCTTGATACTCCAAAATTCTCAAGAGCCAGATGGTTATTGGGTAGATGGTTCAACATGGACCTGCATCTCCTTCATTTCAAATTGTGCCTCACACCCCACATTCTGTGTGGAATGATCATTCCCTTCAACCTCATGTCCATCACCCCATGTTATAGCATTTGTTTCATATAAAAGATAGAAGCCACATAAATGGGACAATTAGTTGTTATGAATTAGCTTTACCTCTGTGACATATTACGCAACTAAAGGTGAATATGTTTATCAAATAATCAATTACAGTAAATAACCTAGTGTCTAGTGTTTAATTACGTATTTGGGTACAATATATAATACACATATACACGGAATGATTTCTTATTTTGTCAATTTAATCATAACCCAAATCATACAAATCGAATATGTGAAAATAAAAGTAGTGACTAACTTTATGATCAAGGGTATAAATACTCAATTGTATCTATTAATCCTAATAGTATAACAATAAATCCTGTGTATTTACTGAGCATATTTAGATACATCCGGATCTACGACCGCAGTCATATAATCAATCAAGGAAAGTATATTAGATTGAATTAAAAATGTGCTATCACTAAAACAAATTTTCCGTTATCCACGTAAGCCTAAACCTTGGAGAAATAAAGTTCTGTTCTGTTCTGAAGACGCCGTCATGATTAGTTGGCGCCAGTCTAGACCGTCCAATCAACGTGAATATACAAACCGTGATGTTACTTGACCAGTTGATGACACCTGTCAAACTCAAAGTGCCCCTGGTCCTCCACCCACCATGTGTAATACTTTAGCGTACTTGATTATTTTATTTGCAGTTATATCACTGTTAGGCTAAGTAATGAGAGAATACATTTTGTTGTTTTTGTTAACGATCGTTTCCATTTTCAACGTGGTAACCTTATATCTGACTAACGTTTTTATCATGATGAAATGAAACATATTAAAATAATCAGAGGGACTGACAATCGCATTTTTCGCATAAATGTCATGCTCGCATTAATTTCATGATTTACTGAAGATAGATTTGAACATTTCTGAGCAACGATCATGTTTGGGTAAGGGAAGTTATCTTGTCCCCGCTTGCGGGAGTAGTGCACTTTACCAGGCGCACTTTTCTGATCCAATTAGCGCTGTGGGGGCTCGAACGTGCTTCGCCGGCTCACCGGCTCTGCTAATTAATGCGTTAATTAGCCGACGCTCTACAACTGGACCACAGGCGCTATCACATGTAATCAGTGCTCGTTTAACGGGTCATTGGAATCCCCATTGACATGCATGCGTAATTCAGTAAACAATGAATTGCGCATGCCTGTGACGTCACGGTCCGCTCTCCCATTCATCTTTTCTTGAAACCACACCCGCAATTGTTTATGTCAACATGACCGACCAATGGGATTAACCGGATTAACGCTTGAAAAGGTAAAAATTTATGGTTAACCCTTGCCCAAAGCAAGCTAACCCTAATGACCGAAAAGGGGTTATGGATCGTAAAGACGTGTAAGTTTCCCTAAGGTCGTAAAACGGGTGTTGGATCGTAAACACGTGTAAGTTTCCCTAAGACCGAGAACGGGTGTTTGATCGTAAAGATGTGTAAGTTTCCCTAAGACCGAGAATGGGTGTTTGATTGGAAAGATGTGTAAGTTTCCCTAAGACCGAAAACGGGTGTTGGATCGTGAAGCGAGAGTCACCAGAGCGTGAGGCACGGTAACGGTATAACGAGACAGCGGTGGCACTATAGCGCGGTAATTGAGCGGATGGTAGAGCTCGGGCTGCGCCCGGTAAACTGCATTGTCGCAGCTTGACTGTTCGGTACGGCCGAAAGGCGGCATCCATGTTGTTCACGCTCCGCTGATTACGGGGCCTCATTTGTCTGTATTCTGCTTATGAGCCGGGATGCGCATGAAACACGAATATATTTACCAATTATATGTACGGTCAATTAGCCAGTTCAAGAGACAATACCCTGGTTCTACCACCTTTAGGTGTAATTACGTCGCATGTCCCTGGTTCACGGTTCGTCTGATCTCCCGTCATAAAACCACGATGTTTATTTACCTGGAGCCTCGGACAGCGCCGACTTCCTGTGTACATGTACGTACATGGCAATAAATGGTTTGACAGCTGTTTGACGGAATCAGTCAATCATTATTGACACAGTGATGTAATTAAAATTTGTCACTATTCTAAACTCCCATTTTGATTTTTTTATTGTTCAGCTGTATTTTCGATCAGTTTTATATGTATAAAAAATCTTCTCTAGTATTTATAAACCAAACCTAAAAACATTATATAAGAACAATTGTGTTTTTAAAACGTAAGTTTTCTATTAAAACAACCATGCAAGTAAGATTTCAGCCGTAATATTACTTTAGTTACACCACAGATTACACATCTTATATGCTGCAAACGCAGCGAATGTAATGCTACTACGTCACAGCTGCCTCGGTAATTAAGGGCTGGAATGTTTTTGTGAAGGCAGTTAGAGCATGCGAATTTTCCCCCTCGCTGTATAATGACGGTCGCTAACCATATATATGTATTTTTCATGTTTTGGGCTTAATTTGATTGTCCTTTGGTGAAAACAAATGTTCAATTGTGAAAGCAAACCCTTTTCCCCTGAAAGTTAAAAGACAGGAGACTTTGTTTTTGTCTGAAATATCAACGTTGAAGTCGTTTATATATTCGGAAATCCATATTATGGTAAATATTTATTAAATGCATGTCCTGTTTTGTATATATGTATATATTATTATGTTAATATGGACAATGGTAAAATTCATTATCACAGTTTAAGTGCTATTCTCAAATGTTATTAAATCTGCTTCGTGATGAATGAAGCATGGCAATAAATGTATGCATCTGATTCTTCATTTGTTCTGTATTCTTTGATGAGAATGAGTTTCGTTAATGATGATCACTCGTACAGATTATTTGATAAGAGGATAGGACTTTAACTGGAGAATAGTAGTGAAAAATATATATATAAGTATAGGCGGTCTGTGCACATGTGGTGAAACTAATACCTCATTGATTTGATAATCGGGACTTGGAAATCATAGTCTGTCATTAAATTGATTTTTAAATATATGGTTTTGACTGTAGTACGTCCTGACATGATAATATTATGTTATAAACAACTTATCTTATCTTATGTTAAGTAAAACAATTATTGATAACTTCCTGAATTCCATTTGTTCAATGAACAGAATTATTCAAAGCTCTGGCGTGAGACAACATTAAATTAGATGTTACCAAAGATTGTCCATTTTATGATCTTAGGCACATGTCGGCGCACTTACATGTGAGCCGTCTAGACGACTGTCTGTTTTATAATTAAATGGCAGCTGCCATCCAGCCGAATACTTAATCTTGAGACCTATAGCTATTATTGTCTTGTCGAGTCAAGTGCGGGTCTCTCTCTCACCTTAGGGAGAATGCGAATGTAAAAGCCCCTCGCTACACAGACACGTAGTGAATGTTTGAGATAAGTTTATTATTTATTATATATAGTTTAAACTCAATAGATAATTCATAGTCTTTTTATTGTTCAAATTACTAATAAAACATATTTTAACTTGTTCCTTCTAAACATACTTCCAAACAATTCCAAAACATTCCAAAACATTCCAAAACATTTCAACTCATCTAAGTCATTCCAAACATTTCCTGTGTTGGAAATATGTTTGGAAATGTTGCCAATCCAATTTTGGATTTTCTGTAAAGATCGATCCTTCCAAGCTTTGGAAAGGTTGGAATGAGCGATCTTTCCAAAGCAACCCAACAATCATTCCAAATTGGAATGGACGCTCCTTGGTCTCGTGTTCATCGTGTGCTCTGTGTTCATTACTGTGTCTTTTGTACGTATGTCTAATCGAGTTTGTACGTCAAGGGGACAATCCATGACACCAAAACACACTGCATACCGCTAATGATCAACTGTCATTGGCGAACATTATTCCCCAACCCCTGACAGAGTCAAGTCCAGTTTCTTGTCTGAGAAATAATGGATGAATTACACAACTAGTGTATAAGAGTCATTTTCTTCCAGCACACAAAGGTTCGTTGATGGTCTCAGATACTCACCTTTTGGGATCTTGACATTGTTTGTCCATCACCACCAGCGACAACATCACACACCCTTCCAACATCCCAGTGTGCCCGCGGCTGGTTGTTGACAACATAGGAACCAGATCCCCTCTCGATATTGCTGGATTTTCACGGCTCCATCTATGTTGAACTCTTTAAGCATTGTTGACTTTCGAGGTCAGCAATGACTTGTGTCTCTCCTGCCTCCTACTATCTATTTCCTAATCTGTGCATATGTCTTTGGGGAGAAAGGTATCAACTCCGACAAGCTGAAAGTGGTGGGGTGTCAGCAGGGTATAGTCCTCAGGTGATGGCTGTTGTGAGTCAATGGGCGACTGTTCAAAACAGGCTCAACTTCAATCAGTGCAGAGCGAAGCACTGATTCAGTTACAAAGGTGTTACCAAGAGCTGCCTTGCAATGAGAGCCGTCTTTGTAGACCAGTCTTTCCCATGCCCCACACACGTATGGACCTTGAGGTTGGTTAAAATACCAAAGGATGCCTTATGGAGCTAGAAAGTCATTGACATAATCTTTTTTGACATCACGAAGGCATTGCCCTAGTTAACACCTTTGCAATTTTTCCCGTTGTCACTGTCTAAATGTTTCAGATGACGTCTTCTTTCAACAAGGCACCTGGAAGGAAGAGGAGAATGAAATCTCTAGTAGATAAGCAGACGAACAAACATTCCCATCACTTGACTGAGCTCCTACGACCTCCCTAACATGGGACCAAAGTGGTAAACTCCAGTTCACACAAAGGGACAATAAAGTGCACCAAGACGACACGGAGGCAGATCAGCCATTCTGAGTACTCGTGGTTTGACCTTCATATTCCGACAACCAAGACAAGATTATCATGATTGATAGATGTGAGCTGCAGGCGTTTCACCGATGACAGAAATGATGTACAGCACGCGCTATCCAGGCAGTATGACGACATAATCTGTGCCAGCAGGAAAAGCTAGCAGGATTGAGCAAGTTAAATATTTTCAAGTCACAAAAGAAACGTTTCTCTGAGTACTGAGTTTCGCAAACGTTTGTTGATATGTGTAGTGCATACTCTCCCTTGACCTCAGGGTAAATTTCACAAAATTGATTTTAAGAATCAAGGGTTTCCGAAGGCCCTGTGTTTGCTTCTTTTTTTAAGGAATTCAGGTGCTTGAAACCAAGAATGAGGAGACATTAGGTGTTTACGTGATTATCCGCGTGAACAGTGGTCAGTCGGGTTTCCAACAGACATTTTGTTGACTCTGTCCAGAGCTGTACCCTTTCAACAGGTATAGTCACTTCATCCTTCAATGTGTTAGGGAGACAGACACACTGCCAAGACTGTTCCTTGTAGTTTAGAAATTTAGAAATAGTCAAGGATGGCTGCAATGAAGCAACATGCGTTTAAGACGCCACAAGAGAATAATCCCTTTTCCGGCGCATCATCAAACAAGTGAAGTTCAAATCATTTCAATGAAGTCAGAGAACAACTTTCTAAGAGCCATTCTCTCCATTTCTTTGCCAAAATCTTAGGAAGCGGGTCATCCAAAAATAACCTCGCCCTGAATATGAATTGAGTGAGAAATCCACAAGGGTTGACGACTGAAGTGATTGTGCTCACAACTTCTCTCTTCGTAGATAAGCCATCTTTGTGGATTGGGTCAAAGGCAAAGGTGTCATCAGAGACATTCCATTTGAGACCTTGGGCTATTTGAATGAGTGGATTGTCTTAATTAAAGTTCACGACTTACGACTCTTGCTCAGAAGTTGTTTGTTGAAGGTTACAACAATTGAGGTCTCCGTAAAGCTTTCAGAAATGTTTTATAAAAAATTACGTCCGATGCTATGCCCTATTTTGACTTGTACTATGTGTTCCCATGTTTTTTGCAGGTACACAATTGACTTGGCTTTGAATGCGTTTGTGATGGATGCCACTGGTAATGCTGGATACGCTCACCTTTTAGCGAATACCTGGAATAATATCACTATCAGATAGCGATTCATTAACACATGATTTAGTATGAATCGTACACTCGACACGGCAGGAAACTGTCCCCACTATGTTGCGAAACGAACATATTTCTAAAACGTTTTTCTTTACTAATAAGCAGCCTAATCTCTGCACTGTTGCACAACAGACTTAATTCAAAATGTACATATAATTTTTATGATCATTTTATGTTTCAACAATATCAGTAAAAGCACTATCGTGTTTCTGCATTTTCTGGTCCATCGATCACTTGACTGTCTGGTTTCATGACAAGCAATAATTATTCAAGTCGCGTGAAGGGCGGGTCCTACCAGTAGGGCAGGACATGCTTACCTTTTTAGCCAACATCTGATATTCAGTGATAATATATATAATTGCCACAGATATTTTGCCTTTTACACACAATGGAATCTGTTTTGACGAATGACTTTTCTCTGGCGTTACATAGTTAAGTAGAGATTTCTAATGATTATGGGCATGCATTTGTCGGTTTCATTTGATTGCCTAAGTTAAAATTGTTATAACAGTCCTTGTACCATATGGCGCAAATCATTGCTCACATTTAAATTCCCGATGACACGTGACGAAAATACATGTGCATAACATTTACGTATCGGCAGTACCTGGTTTGTGTGTAATGTAGACGTGGCTGATCATCTGTCCTACCTTTTGTAAGTGAAGTACCTCCTGACAGGACTCTTGGTACAGGTAAGCTCACTTGTGTTAAAGGTACCACTAGAAGTTTGAATGGGAAACCACTCTTTGTTTTTAATGCTTCAGAAACTATATGAATAAGAATCAGAAACTTCATCTATTTTGTTTGACTTCAAAAGTGTGAAAAATAATAAGGTTTTTACTTGGCTTCAAAGGTCACAATCCAACAATCATCAAGTGGGATATATATTATTGTAGATATGTGCGAGGATTAATTGTCATTGGTATCATCCATGTTGCTACATATAGTTCACTTTTAAAACACAAACAGATCAAGAATATACGTTACAAACACTATGCTGAGTAGTTCATATGCCTATCCCAGAATATCATGGGGGAGAGTGGCATTCGCTACAAATGCTATGGCTCACGTTGGCTCTGGTTTTCTAACGAATGGATGTGTACCCCGTAGTGGGATACAGAAAAGATGATAATAGATACTGCACCGATAAGGGCATACGGTATTCGGTATCTCCGCAGCCATTTATGGTCGAAGGGCCAGTCGGTGGCTTGGTCAATACCTTATCTTGACAAGGGTTGTTAGTTTTGAATCCATGCGATCCCTTTAAAGTTCAATAAGTACACTTTTCAAAAACGAAACGCACAGGTAGTATGTAGTTCACTGAACCTGGCTACACAACAAATCCGGTAAATAAATTGGATATATTTCATTGGAAAATGTTCATGTCCTGATATTCGACAAACGCTGCGTCAAAATGCAGCCATTGTCGATTTGCAATGTCTTAAACCGCATTGTTTTCACACTTGTTCAGAAATGTCATGGAGGAAAACAGTAAAGTAACATGCACGTGCAAGTTATGGCATTCGTAACTCGTGGTAGTCGCTATAAAAAGGCAAATATAAGCAAATAATTTGTCATTCAATTGTCAACATTTTTCAAGTTCGAAAATGCCGAGACTCAGCGCTGCCGATTGTAACATCGCCATAGGACGTGTTTATCGTCGTCGAAATGAGCGTTTCATCCCGACATTGTGTACGTGAATTCCACAAATTCGGTGGCGGTAGTGTCATGGTGTGGGGGGCCATATCCTACACCACGAGATCTTACTTGGTTGTGGTTCAGGGAAATTTGACGGCAAATCGCTACATGAATCAATTTCTTCAACCTCATCATCTTCCAATTATTGACCGCCAGAGGGAGTTATTTCAACAGGACAACGCTCCATCGCACACAGCTCGTGTCACGGTAGACTACCTTTATAATGCCAGCATCAACGGCTTGCCCTGGCCGTCCAGATCTCCAGATCTCAACCCAATCGGACACCTATGGGATGAACTCGATCAACGTGTACGTCAACGTCAGAAAACGTCGCAGACACTCCCACAACTGGCCGACGCGCTACAAGCAGAATGGCGTTGAATTCTGCAGGACAGAATTTGAACACTTATCCAGTCAGTGCCGAGGAGATGCAGAGCCGTATTGCTGCCCTTATGTGGCCTCGTGTGACATGACAATGAACAGTTTTCAATGCCTTTGTGCAACGACATGTGACTATCGAGCACCAAAATTTCATCTATCTATACTCACACGCAAAAGAAACGCAAGTGGTTTTAAGCAAATAGGTAACAAACACGGAACCATAAATTGATACAAGTTTGAGCATGTAGTGAAGCCTGATGGTGTTATCAATATTTTTGGTTGCATTTTGGAAGCCCCGAGTAAAAACGCAACATAAAAAACGAATCACCAAAACGCACCATTTATGAATGTGTGGGTATCAAGCACCCATTTCTCGCGAAATCGAAAATGTACGAACTGTCACGAACTGTTGTGGGTATAAAATTCTTAGACCTACCACTCCTTGGTCAACAATGCCACGCCTAACTCAAATTCAGAGAAACCAGGCTATCGGACGTTTGGAAGCTGGAATTACTGGGCTCGATCGTAGCGCCACCAGTGGCTATTACGAGTTATGTCCTTTCTATGCCTCTCCTATTGACAAATCAGATTCAACCTCTCGTATCACTTGCATTTGCTTCAAACAAAACGGTGGCGCCCAGTCAAGACGATCTGATCGATAATCAAGATCTATATTGTGATAAAACGAGTCTTACATCGCGAAGTGCATCAAATCACGTGAGCACCCTGATTAAAAGCATGAGGTTCAAAGGCGTCTGCACAATGTGCGCCCAGTCCCTACAACTGCCGATGAACTACGCACAGCTGCTCTGGTTGTGTGCAGGAGGATCCCTAGGGCCTTCACAAATCGGTTGATCCACTCAATGTACAGGAGCTGTGTGGCGGTGACCAATGCTAATGGTGGCCACACCAGGTATTAACTGACATTTCGGGTATTGATCCGAAGCTGTGTAAGCCCTCAACATTTGAAAAAAACAACAATTATGTCATCTGCCTTTTAATCCATTAAACTGTCTTTAGTGAATTTTTTGTCAATCTTGCCCTATGAATATTTCTTGTCTTTACTGTTGAAAATAAATAACATGTATACTGCATACTCGACATGCGTTTCTTTTGCGTGTCAGTATATTATATTCAATTAAATATATCGACTTCATTAGGTACACAATAACACGTCCCATTTTATTTCTGGAAACCCCAAAGTCCAGTCTCCGTCAAAGGTATTTACAAAATTAAACATGCTTTTTTCATGGGAACATACCAAGGAAGAAAAAAATCAAAAAAAATCTCATGTTTACACTATGTCGCCCATGGGCCTGCCCATGGGCGAGAATATTCTCCTTTACTCAAAACTCATGTTTTTGTTTCGCAAAAAATGTATATCTTTCAAGTATCATGACACAAACTTTACCTCATTTTAACTTAATTCAACGATTTTATAGCGATATTGAAATATTTCGCCCATGGGCGAGAAAAAGGTTTGGCCCATGGGCGAGAAATATTTTCATTTGCTCAACAGTTTTAGTTTCGCAAATACATAAAGGTTTTATATGCATGACACATGATTCAACTCATTTTACCTTAATTCAACTATTAAAACATTTCGCCCATGTTTTCGTCAGTCCCTTTAAATAATTAACTAAGTGTGTACAAAGTAAATTGTATCATGTGAAATATACTTTATATTATGTCATTTATACATTACTATATAAAAAGGGCCTTCTGTTTCCTTTACAGAAGATTACAAATTTCACCTTTTTTACATATTGCAACGATCTTTAATGAAACCGGCCTTACCTCTCAAAACATTTTGACAGTTTATCATACGAATTCATGCGCGTGTACACCAATTCATTGGCGATATTTTCTAACACATTAAAGTTTAGTTGGTTTCTTTTTAATTTCCCATTTTATGTCTCGTCGATACATCACACTGGGAAAGTAAGTGACACGAGGTATGCAATATACAGGTACACGTGCGCGTATTTTAATGGAAACAGAATACGATTCGTCTTTCATTGCATAACGTTTGGCTGAATATCTCACACTCTAACGAAATCTCTAAATAATTATTTATTTAATTATATGCGGTGTCGAACTGACCAATGGGAATTTTGTGTACATGCAATTTGGGAAAACTTGAGTGAATATTATAACACAAAAGCAACTTTTAAATGCATAGTTACTTTTGGTATAAAAATGGTAACAGTTCAGAAAAAAACAACAGCCTTCTTATTATAATTCTCATATTCTCATTAGGTTGTTGTATCTAATTGCAGTGTCGGCCTTGTTTACAGGTGATTCTAAACTTATGTCCAAAAGAAACGATACCACACATTTTTCTAAATATTTTTTATGAAGAGTTAATTTTCGTCTGAAAAGGTACTTTTGCGTATCCTACGTTCCAAACCAAACGTATTCGGTTGATAAAACCGGGAACATTTGATCAATTGAGAAAAAAGCGTGCAATTAGCCCAAATGACGTTCCGTCCCGTAACACGGAATGCACGTGAATATCTTATGTATAAAACTGCTGACCCGACACGTTGGGATAACAGCAACTAAAAGCACACAAAAGAAATGCCACGTTTGACAGCGATTGAGAGAGAGGGAGCCGTAGGAATGCTCCAACAGGGAGCTACGCACCGCGACGTCGCCAGAAGGTTAGGATGCGCGCGCATAACCGTCACCAGGTCATTGCAGCGGTTGCGTCAAACAGGTCGGACAGCAGATAGGCCGAGAAGCGGGAGACCACGGGTGACCACGCCTATTAAAGACCGCTCCATCCGGGTACTTCACCTTCGAAACCGCTTCGTAACGGCGACGTTAACGGCACGGACGGCACTGGGACACGTGATAAGTCGACAAACCGTGTACAGGAGACTACGGGCACATGGTATCCGAGCACGTCGCCCCTACCTCGGAGCGTTCCTGACACCTCAACACCGACTCAGCAGACGGATATGGGCCAGGCGACTTCGACGGTGGCAACGGTGGAACTGGGCACGTGTCATGTTTTCTGACGAAAGCAGATTTTGCATCATCAGGAACGACGGCCGGCAGCGTGTGTACCGAAGAGTAGGTGAACGTTTGGCACCGAACTGCATCCATCAAGTCAGGCCATACTGAGGCGGAGGTTTAATGATTTGGGGTGGAATCTGCGGTGACGTCAAAACGAGACTCGTCGTTATTCGAGGAAACCTGAATGCGCAGCGTAATCGTGATGACTTCTTACAACCAGTTGTGGTGCCATTCATCCAACAACAGCCTAATGGTGTCATTTTTCAGCACGATAATGCGAGGCCTCACACGGCAAGGCTGACCCTGAACTTCCTAGCAAACGCCAACATTCACGTTTTACCATGGCCGGCATGTTCACCGGACATCAACCCAATCGAACACATGTGGGACATTCTCGGCCGCAAAGTCAGGCATCGCCCTTTGCCTCTTGTTAACCTCCAGGAATCAGAACAATGCCTCTTCCATGAATGGCAACGCATCCCCCCCAACGTCATCAGACGTCTGACGTCATCAGCCCGTAGACGTGTACTAGCGTGTATTGACGCTCACGGTGGACATAACCGGTACTAACGTGACTTTGAGACGTGTGTGG